TGTTATCCCTTAGGATTTTGTTCACGTGCTGCTCGAAGATTGGTTAATATAAGACATACCAATCGAGGTTGCCACCCATCGCTGCTAGACGCACGTAATGAGTGGTGAGATAGTTGTCGTCATACGACGACGTAGATTACTTCAGTTGGATAAAGACTGAAGTTTTATTATTAGCTTAGCTATATTAAGTACGGTACTCTTTTTTCCTTTACTCAAAATAGCAGTTTGAGTAGATTGGCTTCCTCTGCACGTACGAGTGTACGTGAAGTCTCGTGACACCCCTATCCTCAAAGGGTGCCCCGTTACAGTGTGTATTTTGTTAATAGTGGTTTTTAAAAACATTGGCCCTCCCATGTATTTCGTCGCTTAGGCAACGCATACACTATCGAATTTCCACGTAAGATGCGCACGCATACTTCATTTAGAGTGGGACTGTTTTGCCGTAGTATCAGGATGAATCACAACTTCTTAGGAAGATAGCCACCACGTACAAGAACCTCCATTTTAGTCTTTCGTTTATGATTTGGGTCAGAGACCTAGTTGACCATCGATGCGAACTCTTTGCGACTGTAGGATGTCTCGTGACAAATTGATACAACCCTGATCTGAAAAAAATGAAATGATCTTCCGCTCGTATTTAAATGACTCATCGTGTGATAAGACTAAATGTTACCTCAATTGGCACAAAACTAACGCACAGCGTGGTTAAATCCGTGACGAAGCATATGTTTGTGGCCAGGATAGGCGCGTAACTCTTCAGTTATGCGATACAAACTCTCAACACCCACAAGAAGGTACGAAAAAGTAGTTGAACATTGTGCATACACCTCCACCGCATCCTGTGGTGGACTCAAACGGTAGTTTACAATTTCATGTGGAGCCTATTGCGAACCACTGTGGCAGGGAAATGTTCCCGAGCGAGGAGCTACCATTTTCGTTAACCTGGCTGTTCCCCATTTTTTGGATACCTGGAAGGTTGGCTATCAGCTATTTTGAGACGGAAGTTACGGATATTAAGGGAGCCATTAGCTGAAAGGTTTCCTTCCAGCTATCGGTTAAAGCCGAAGATCTCGTTGTATAGTACGATGAGAAGCATCAGATGATCCAAGAGGACTATCAGAAAGGAACGAATGTCGCGCCTTTATGCGATTGAGCAACATCAATCGCATTTTGCGATTGAAAGAGATACAAACCCACCAACAAGGCAAGTTAAGAAGTATCCTCGTCCTTAGCGGCACGTGAAGAGTTCAAACACAATTAGCACGAGGTCTGTCCCGCTAATCGCAATGAAATTCGGTCCTTCGGGGGAAAATTAGTTTGTAACGCGCACCAGATTGCACTTGTTTTTCAATCTGATTGCGCAATATAAGTAATTTAGTATTCAGGTATGGCATCAAATGTTTGTGACATCGTTCACAAAAGCGTTTCAACCTTGTGGAAACGAGATGATAAATCACCCTTAACTAAGTGAATGTAATTGGTGCTTCAGAAAAGCGTCGATCTAAGACACTTGCTCGGCGCTGAAATGTCTTGTGAAGTAATCTAAACCGTAGAGTATGGACGCATCAATCAGTGTTTTTTTTGTATGTTCATCCGTTTTTATCGCTTCGTTGTGGACGAAAAGCGATAAAAAGGTCGAAAGTAGCTTCTATGGCCTTTATTTAGAAGTGCGTCTGATCAAATCGCGCCCCAGACTTTCTATGTAGATTCAACGGAAGAAATGACGCAATGATAATCACGATCACAGCGATCGTCTTGAGCACGGTGATGTGGTTTCACATTACTGTTAGCATCACTACGTCCATATCTTAACGATACTACATGATGATGTGCTCTTGAGAGCGCGAGCGTGATCGCAAGTGTGAATCCAAGAGACGTTTTGACAGGACTCTGACTCATGAGACATACGAAAGCTGTTACGCCGCTTGATGTCAGTCATGCCACTATGGCTGGCCTGCTATAGTGGAATCAATTAGGCCAACGCAAATAAACGGGGGGGCGGGTAACTTCAAGTTGTACACATCGTTCGACTCTCCGTTTACATGGCCTCCACAAATGAGTCAGGATCACTGCATGGTCAAGCACTAAGTCTACCTGCAGCACCTTGTGCTGCACTTAATGTTCCACCATATGAACTCAATGAATCCCCTGCTTTAATGCGGGTATTGCTCGCGGCTGTATACGAACGTGCTTTCGGCTTTCACCATTATGATGATGCTCTCGTTCTTGGCCACAATTATAAGGCAAGATTACAGACTAGAATCAACGGATCGTCAAGTGCATCCCTTTCCTAGAGTAGTCCGAATGTGACCACTCTTTTAAGACATTTACATGTGACTATTGCATAAGGAAATTATGTAACGGAATTAGCCTGTTACATGTAATAAATACAAAAGTGTCAAATCCGAATATGATCTTAAAAGTAAAAAAACAGATATTACCTAAATCGACAATGTACAAAAACACGCATATTTGTACTTCGATATACTTACTGTAGGTTATATGTACTCAATATTTCAGAAGAATCAAACTAGAGAGCCGCCAATGAGCCTTCGCTTTTCACTTATGAGCCTTCACCCCATATTCTGAACAAATTTGGATTGAAACCGTCCAAATAATAATATGTTTTCTCGTACAATTTAAAAATTATATCCACTCCATCTCATTTCACCCACGCTATCGTACATCTGAATCCCCCCCTTCTTTGAAGAAACATAGAAAGCATTAAAAAGATCATAGATTAGACTTATTCTATTGAAGACGATTTCCATGCGCTTGACGAGCTGAAACTGCCGGAAGGCTCTCATACATCTGTTAAACGGCAATATAAAGGGCGCTAAGCAATAAGGAATTTGAGTTTGCGGCAGTAAAACCGTACTGCTCACGCAACGCCGTCTCTACAAGAGGCGAATCGTCAAGAAGATATATACTAGCAATTAGGCATACCTAGGGTGTGAGCAGAATGAACATGTGCATTTTTCTACTCGCTCGTCTATCTACATGTTTATGTGGAGGATTTGGTTGAAATAAACGTTTGTAGTATAAACGTAAAGCTGTCATCGGACCCTTTTGGGGTGGTCCTATCATTGGTTTAAGAGACGTGGTGTAGGGCGGGATAATATTCACCTAAAATAAGCCGATGCAAGCCTATGTTACACATGCTCTCACCCGTTGAGGAGGCTGCTTTATGTGAAGATGCGAATAAGACTGGCTAAGTCTCGACTGTCAAATTTAGAAATTAGAAGCGTAAAAGGAAATCAAGCCATTTGACAATTTAGGTGTTTCAAATTTTAACCACCTGTTTTATAAATGGGTTGAAGGCTCGTTAGAGAAAAGTGATGGCTCATTAGCGGTTCCCTTAACTTATTCTCAATACGGTTCTACTTGTCCCTTTAACTAAGTTTACGAATTAGTATACCAACCGTAGTATAGAATTACATGTACGCGAAAAGCCAATCCACCTGTTTTCACTGTGGGCGTGCAAGTTACCTAAGCCTTTATCATTGTAAGCACAGGGTGCCCCGTCACAGTAAGTGTCCATAAAAATGTCAGCCTTGTCAAATGTTTGTTTACACCTCGCTCTTGTCAAGATCGCGGCCTCGGACCGCTGTGTGTTGGCATCTGTATGACTTTGATGTAGTAAACTACTCAATGTTTTGAAGGGTTCACACGGATCCCCACAATCCAGATTATGCGTGTCTACACAAAGGTTATAGTTGAGGGCTAGACTGTGGATATCAGACCAACGTGAAATGCCTGATACACATGTCAGCACTTCATACACGACATGCGTGTCCGCACTCCAATATGTATCCACACGAACGCATACAATTCGATCTGATTTGGGTTCTTAAAAAGGCCCGAGTACAAAGCGATACTAAATTCGACTGGAATGGGAGTGGGATGGCGCCTCACTGGTGCAGTTGTGTCGCATTGCGAATTTTTGTACGCCACGAAAATCTTGCCCACACCGAGAGCCGAAGTTCTGAGCGACTCACGTTCGTAGCAAACTTTCGGACAACTGATAGCATGCGTGTCAATCGAGAGATCGTGGATGCATGCATTATTGCTCCATTATTTCTCGAGAGATTAAGATCAAGGACTGTCTTTGTAATGTTTGTTCGCATTTAGCATACTACACTGTCCTATTCATTTATGGACTGGAAAGACATGTGGGCTGTATGAAAAATCATGACTGGCTAATGAACAACACTTGTTTTAGTCTGGTTTGTTTGGCAATTCATCGTCACTAACAAGATATTTTGAGGTTTAGGCAGTGAGGGCTCGCCATCGAAAACGAGGGTGACAACAGTTTTTAGCTGCTGCACCTTAGTAGAATCCGTCTAAACATGGACCACGTCCCTCGTCGTTACCAATCGCTTCTGTGCTTGTTCCTAACAAGCTACCTTTTTTGGAAAGGACGGCTACATCTGAGCCATGAGCAGGCACTACATGTTTATAAAATGAGCATGTTTTTGGCTACCACCATTTAATATTAAACTAATTCTTGACACATTCCGCCATACCACATTAAGAAAAACTAGCTTTTATTTACATTAATCCTCCAGTTTTTTTGGATCAAAACTGTTGATCACATTGTCACGCTGCTTTCTGGATGACAGAAACTTCTTGGACGAGAGAATTCACTACGTCAAGAAGCCTTAAACCTTTGAAAATGATCAGACAGACATTATGATATATCTTCGGTATCTGCAGTTAAACGGGCTTAAATAACTGTATAAAACAGTATAGAATGAGCTTGATACGCTGGTGGTATGTTGCGTTTAAAAATACTGATTGTGTTGGAAACGGAAGCCAAACAAGTGATGATTTTATTAAGAAATGGGACAGAGTAGTAAAAGACAAATGGGTAGCCTAAATAAACATGGTGTTTGAACACTGCGCCTGGATGTATTTGAAGTTTCGGTGTTTTTATCGACGCTTTACAAACAGATCAGAACCAAGTCTTGAGCGGTCACATCGCGCCCTCCATCGCAGCTATGTCGTCAGTGGTGCCGACACTCGCGTCGTTTCTTATCGTGGGCGCACTCTGGGGATGCACGAACCCGTTCATAAAACGAGGTAGTGATGGCGAATGAAAGGTAGACGCACAAGAGAGGGTTGGAAACTGAGAGACGAATGGACTCCTATGTTGGTCATTAGGGAGCAATGACGACGTTATGAACACTCGGAAAGACAATAGCATGAAGGAATTCGCGAATCAAGTTCTTGGAGTCGTGAAGAACTGGAAGGTGCGGGAGACGCTTCGTTGGTCATTACTTTATCTCTAGTATCTTTTCTGTAAATCGATCGTCGACGTCGCGTGGATCGGCTCTGACAGTTCCTCTTCAAATTTGGTACGGCAGTTTGTTCTGCCATTTGCTCTAAATCAGAGTGGCTCTGTCGTCTACGTTTACCTTCTCGGCTCGGCAGGTACATACGTACAAGCGTGCACGACAGTAACAGTCCATGGTGAAGCGATGATTCAGATTATGAGTGATGTTGGTGGAATTGATGATGCGACATAGATATCTCGCATGCTGTACCCATTTGCAACTCGCTGACGTTCGTCTTCACTGCCATAACGAGTCGTTTGCTTGGGGAGAAACCCCAGCGTCCTATTTGTACGTGTCTTCGGCTAGTCATTTTGAATCTGCTTGTCGATTTCGATGCTCAGCATGTTCGTTTTCTTGCTGACCATATGCACCAGGTACATACATGGGCATGGCGCTCGTTCTCTTGGGTGTGGCCATTTGCTTCGATAGCCAAACAGTGTTGCAGCCGTAGCTCGCGTGTCATCGAAAAGGCTATCGGCGAATACGAGTCAACGATTGACCCGAGATGTCACCTCGGTTTGTGCGTGTAAAGCACAGTGAAGGAGCTTGAACAATTTGGTGTGTATTGCGGTAGTCGTTTGTTTCGGGGTGTTGTGGCCAGCTATTGCCTTAGCGGCGTTAGAAGCGGCCGAAGTCCCTGTGATGACTGAATCGCAGACGTTTTATAATCAGAAGAAGGAGCCGAGTGGACGATTTGCATGAGCTAGACAAGGAGCCTACGACAACGGTGCGAACCGCTGGATGAATGCGTGTTCATATCGTGATAAGGTCTACTTTTGCCATGTGTGTTTGGGCTGGGTATGTCGTGTTTCGCAAGCGCGTACAAAAGAGTTTCCACTCGTCAGTCACGCGTGCCTGACAACAGCAGCAACTGCGAAGCAAACTGAAACATCCAAGTACCCGTAGCACCACGCATAGCGGGAGCGCTGGGAAAACGCTTCTTGCTAACAGTCTAATCCACATCCATCGGAATGACGTCCGGTGCCGTATTGTCCGCTTCTGTAGCGTGATGAGGACCGCCTGATCCTCTAGCACTGTCAACATCATCGTCGTCATTTCCTCGCTGGTCTTTGTCATCTCGATAGAATTCAGCTTCGTGCTGCCGTCTTCCGTCGTTGTCCATGCGCGAGTTCGGATCTGCTGCATCTTCGTCTTCCTCGCGCAGCATATGCGTCGGAGGGGCTTGACTCATTTGAACGCTTGGCGCTCCCGTTAGAGCCCGAAGATTCTCAAAGATCTTGTTCCTGGCACCGATACAAATGTTAGCTGGGCAACATTGTTCAATTCGAACAAGAGCGTATTCGCGTACTTGCACTCGTCTAAATACTCCCTCGAGTTTGCATCATCAAGGTCCGGATCCGGCTCAAGATGCAGCTTGAAATTCGGAGCGTAAAACTCGAAGTAATCGTTGTACGGGATATTGTTCGACACCTCTTCGTCCAACAGGATCGACGTCTCGTAAGCCCATGCCCTGGCAACATTGCGGATTGTGTATCCACCACCTCCCAGCACTAGCATCGGCAGGCCAAAGCTTTTTACGAACTTGACGCATTCGCCGTGACCTACACACGAAAGCAACATGTATGCATTAGCACCAGCAAAATCTCTTAGTCGTACACACCAAACTTGTACAGGCGGCGTACCCCTAGTGGTGACATTAAAGCAGCCGAGTCGATCTCCTGTAAGCGAGTCCGCACCGCACTGCAGCACTACAGCCGAGGGAGCGAACGTCTCCATCACCTTCTGGATCACAGGTTTGAACACGCTCTCGTAGCTTTCGTCCGTCATGCCGCTCAGCAACGGGAAGTTGACAGCATAGTACTTGCCATTCTTGGTGCCAATATCCTACATACAGCAAACAGAGCCATCGTGTAAAAGGAGCATGCACACAAGCCGCAGCGGCGGCAGAAAAAAACTGAATCAGCAGTCGTGGGTCCACAAAACCTTGATGTCGCCTGTGCCAGGAAAAAAGTCTCCGTACTTGTGAAACGACACAGTCATCACCCGATCTGTCACGTAAAACGCTTCCTCAACGCCGTCGCCGTGGTGAACATCAATGTCAATGTATAGGACGCGCGGATGGTACTTGAGCAGCTCCAAAATACCCAGCACAATGTCGTTCACATAGCAGAATCCTGATCCCTCAGACTTTTTCGCGTGGTGCAATCCGCCCGCCCAGTTGATGGCAATATCACATTGTCCGTGGTTCAGTCGACTCACAGCGTCCAACGTGCCTCCCGAATAAATTTGGCAAAAGTCGAAAATGCCGTCAAATACTGGACAGTCCGTCAGCTCGCCCAAGTTGACTGGACCCGCACAAAACACATCGATCAATCGATCGTATCCGAGAAAGAGCGATCAGTCCACTTTGTCTCACCCACCAGTTACGTCTCTAGCTTTGGATGCTCAATTAGCTGTTACACGTACATTTCTGAAGCTCCGGAACCAAGTTTTTCTGATTATTAGGGCTGATACGCTGCAAAAAGTCAACGTAATCCGGTGCGTGAAAGCTCTTGATCTCCTCGGCAGACGCAATGTGTGGCTCCTATAGAAATAGCAGGAAGCAAAAGTGACGTGGTGTCCACGTGATGAACACGACCGTCCCTTTATTCTACAGTGAACAAGTTACAGAGGCTCTTGGGCACGTACAAAAATGTCCATTTTGCGGTACAAATCGTAATTGACGACCAAATGGTGCGCTAATTTCATGCGATGCGGTTTCATGGGGTGGCCCGGACCATAGTAAAAGTGCCCTTCTTCAGCTACGAGTACAACCAGAAGGGATAGAGAGAGAGTGAGAGTGAGAGCGTGTGTATACAATAGCAGCTACTAGGTTCGGACGCAGAGGAAGAAGAGACACGAAGAGACGTATAGATGGATGGATGAACATAGGGGTGGATGGATGAGCGTACGGTGGTAGAAATACGACACGCGCTTGGTGCTGGAGTTGGTCATGGGCGGCGTCACGTGAACTCCTACTTACGGACTGTGCGCGCTATCCATTGTTCATTAGAAATAAAAACCAGTAAAACTCCGACAGAGATAATACACTTGTCTTTAGTATCTGAAGATCGACCAATTGGAAAGTGAGATACACTTATAGCCAATGTCTGATCTTGATATTTTAAGTATTGGCCAATTAGAACGATAAGGTGTAGCGCAATGGCGTTCTGACACTATTCTGACATTTTTGTCGGAACGAGTTCGAAATATGTGTGGACAACATACAAACGCCAAGTCAGACGTCCATAATGCTGCAGGTTGTAAAAACTCCGACAACGTTTAAAGCAGTAGAATAAATTCGGCAAATGCGAAACGGCTGGGTTCATTTTTATTCGGCTGGGTCATTCCGATTTGCTATCAGAAGAAGCTTAGAATTATGCCCAATTTCGTCAGGAGTAGATCCTGATACTCAAATCATTAGTACTTTTTTCTCACGTGTCCATGCAAGGCTTGAAATGACGATATCAGTGCATTCGCTGCTTAAACCTCACTCCAGTCCTTACTTCCTAGTTAGCGTTCTCTTACAAGAAAAACATCGTTTTTTTACTCCATTTTGGACGCGATCGTTCTACCTAACAAAATAGCTTCACAGTCAACAAAGTCCATTTAACACGGTGCGTCATAAAAAAACGAAGGGTCCTGAGTCGCATTGTCTTGAAGAAGTTCTGGATGTAATCTAAATTATGCTGCCAAGTTGCTGTCCAGGGTGGCAATGATAATCGTGTACATGACAATTTAAATGCAGAAGTGTACCCCAATGTGGCGGACTACCAAGAAAAGGCTGCAATTCACATGGCGAACGAATCTAGCGAAATTTGCTTCTGAGCAAAATCACGTGGCGCACGCACTGATGCAGCGCTGGAGTCTGGCTTATTCCCACACTGTTCACATCTGCCACATTGTGTTACGCAACAAAATAGTAATCAGGGAGTTGATTGCCGCTTTCTTCGGCATTAAAATTATTCGACTTCACCTATCTCAAATTCATCTACGGCGCCGTAGAATACGGCGCCGTCATTCGCGAGCACTAATCTACGGCGCGTCAAGCAAGCGGTCTCAATCATATCGATACGTAAATGACTGAGTCTTTATCGCCAGAACTTTACTCAGCAACCATTTTCTATTTACGTTGTTTGGTCATTACTCCTTCGAATCCGACTACTTGTCAGATCACGCACATTTTTACATTTCCCCAGTATAATTGGAAGCGAGTATGTCTCAATCCACAGCGTCAGCACAGAGATCTCTCTCATCACATCAGCACTCGGAGCATTCGGTTCTCCTGTTGTCGTAAGCGCAACAGCAGTTTTATTGTAAAAGTAACCACGTAGCTGACTATTGGATGAGATTGCATGTGCGCACGCACCGACATGACCCATAACGTCATATTTTTGGCTGTACTTGCTCGACAAAACAACTTTGGTGCAGGTGTTACGACCTCGATACTATTGGCCTTGGTATCAAAATAGCTCTTCCAGAGCATATATTCGGCGTGAGATCAAGGCCGCCTTTTAAACCTCCACGTCATCTTCCCCGTAATAAAGGAACCACAACCTTGCTTGTGATTCAACGGAAGCCCTTCTGCTAAAAAGAATCAGCACATCTTCCGATTGGCAACGTGGGCATACTGGGCAGGGCTGAGCTCATGAGTAACCCCTTTAAACTCAAGACAAATGTGTTGTGGCATCGTCATAGAAGACGGCAGCGGTGATGAGGCCGCACTCACGAATTCTAAAAATGGAATACGCTGTGCATACTAAAAACGCACACGTGTTGTTGTTGCCTTTAGGAATGGGGTTCGGCCAGGAAGGTCAGGATTGGAGTGAGGTAGAAGCAGCGATTTGCACTGGTATCGTCATTTGAGATGTGCATGGGCACGTGAGCAAACAGTAGTAGTGGATTGAATATTTGGGATCCACTCCTCACGAATTTAAGCGTCTTTTTTAGCTACTTCTAATGACGAATCAGAATTACCTAGCCAAATAAAAATGAAACTAGCCGTTTAGAATTTGCCATAAATTAGGGAATAGTTAAATACGCGCCCACATAATTACTCAATTTATGCCTTTCAAAAAGAGGTTTGTAATTGCTGTTTTATGCACGCTTTTTAATGAAACCTATTACTCGTCGACGCTTGCGTGTAAGGCGATAATTTTGTCGTCACTCACATGGCATGCGAACTTATTGAACAAAACAGATAAAGTATTGATCCATGTCGTTTTACACCGGTAGCTACTGGTGAGAAGAAAATGTGGTCTTTGCCAACAAGAAAAAGCCGACTAACCAAAAAATAAGGGAGACAGAAAGAAGTTGAGACAATAGAGAAGTTGGAGGTTTATAGCGGTTAGAGAACAATGTATGCACACAGTCGCCTTATTGTTTAGTACCACAACGTTCTTTTGTGATTTGCTTGAATGTAGTGCGGCCATATAATCTACTACATCGAGA